TTTTGAAAAAATACAAAAATACATAAGGCCAAAAGGTGGGATAATTGAAGGCTGTTCTTTAATCTGTCTTAAACTTAGTTAGCCACAATTACTAACCCAAACATACCAGAGTATTCCTTACACCAAAACAACACATTCTTACTTACCATTCTTACTTACCATTCTTATTAAAGCCACCAGAATATCTCAAAGTCTTTATGTAGTTTCCATATGCACAGTTGAGGAATAAAAATAACAATTTTTAAAAATGTAACCTCAGTGAATATTTACACTGATTACAATTTTATATTAAAGAAACTAAACAAAATGGTGGAAAGTAAGATTTGTTTTATTAAAACATTAAAAAAAATGGAAAGAGTAAAAAAAAAGAAATGCCCGGAAAATTCTATTTTTTTTTTTTCAAATTTAAAATTAGTTTTTCGTCATTATGCGTGTATTAGAATTTACTTGCTCTAAAAAATTTTATAAATGTATGAATAACATTTTTTATATCTATTTATTTATAAAATAATAATTTTTTATAAAATGGTAAATAATAAATGTTTTGTTGTAGTTGGTTCAAATATTTTTTCATAATTTCTAAAAAATTTTATAAGTTTATAATAAAAAAACGTATTTATTTTTTTAAATAGTAAATGATAAACATTATACTAGTTAGTCCACATATTTTTATAATCTTGCAAATATAAACGTAATCTTGCAAATTAAAAAAAATTAATTAAATAAGCAGTGTTGTCCTCATCTCTATTGCCGTTTCGGCCGTTGTACGCTCCGGCCTTCTTCAGGTGATATACGTTGGAATTTCGAACCGAACCCTTCATTTACTCGATTGTTCTAATTGCACGTGCCATGCCTTTGGATATATCAGTTTCAGTTAATTCCTTTTAGTAACTCATCTCTCAAGATTTTGTTCCTCTGCTGTCGCCAGGTATTGAACTCACCACTCTTTGGGTCAAGTCACTTTTTGTGGATTCCTTCAACTAACGCTTGGGCCATGTGTCTTTTGTGGTCAATGCTCAAGAACAAAAAAAATGCATAAATCAACTTTCATGCGCTTGGGTTGGATTAAAATTCTAAAAAAATGTCTCTTCGAAACGATAAAAAAAATAATGTCCTTTTGACACAAGATTTTTTTTTTTTTAATATGCAAAGAAACCAAGAATTCACTAGTACTGCTGTTGTAGACGTACTTATACGTCTATACGAAACACTGTCTGCTGTCGATATATATATATATATATATATATATATATATATATATATATATATATTACATTCACTTACGTGCTAATACCCTTGGGAAAGGTGTGAATCCTCTTCTTCTCCCTCCAGCTATGGGTAAATAGCAGGACAGACTGGGTTCTATAGCCTTGGATGGCAACTGGTCTAGGAGAAGGACAACTCTGAATTCAAAACCTGCGGAGGATCGTTTGGGGACCTTGTGGCACGTAATGCACCAGGACTCTGTATTCGGCCCTTCAAAAAGTGTGGATAGTCCTGCACGAAACCTTCACCACTATAATCAAATCTGATGTGCTTTTGTCGGGCTGTCGGTTTCCTGCTTGACCCTTCATACATCGAACTCGACGGGAGAGTCGTCGACGACGATATATATATATATATATATATATATATATATATATATATATATATATATATATATATATATATATATATACTTTCAAGACACTATAAAATGTTGACCCTTAGCCCGTGTGTTATAAATTATCTAGCGATTAGTGTTATTTCAAAACCAGCGTAGGCATATAAAGGCATACATTTTTGTGTTGTATTTTTTATTACGTTGTATTTTGGTAGACGGAATACCAGGGAAAAAATCACGCCAGAGCAGTTGCCATGAAAATATTTGTAGAAAAGATAGAGGGAAGCCACGTCACGTCGGTGAGAAAGTGACTGAAGTCGAGTTGCCAAGCTAGGATCGATTACATCTGAGTACATATATATTCAATATCTTACATTTGTGTGTGTGTTTTACTATTTTCTGCAGTTGGTTTGACTGTGAACTACATTGCAATCATAGTACGCAGTGACACCGCCATTCATTCATGTATTCATTCGTCTATTTATACATTCATCTCCTTTCATCCTGACTCCATTCATTAAAAGAAAAAAAAAAGTCAATTCATTCATAAAAGCCAATTCATTCAATTCATTATTCAAACCGGTCATTAGTTTCCAGAATTACTCCACCCTCAACTGTAAGGGTCTTTGATTCATTCCCCTAGCTTCTTGGTTCCATACACAGCTGTCCCGGTACCAATTCTAAGACGACTGTCGTCTGAATTTGTTTATCTTCTTATTTGGCTTTTTGAATTCCACTAGAAGACTTTAGTGTCAAGAAGAATAACGATCTTCTTGCTACGACACAACAACATAATAAGTAAAATGAATTAAGAAACCAATTCACAAGTATTTGTTTAAGCGACAGAGTCAAAACATTTACAAAATCTCTTATTATTAACTACTACTTTTCGTCTTAATTCTGCATGTAGATAAGTAGTGAAAGACGCCTTCTAAAAGCTAAGCAAAGTATAAAGAAACAGAAAAAATTCGTTACAAACAAAGAAAAGAGTACTGAATGTAACGGCTCGGAATCGGAGAGCCGAGTTTGAATTCCAGTCGAATCCATTACATTCACTTACGTGCTAATACCCTTGGGAAAGGTATGAATCCAACTCTCTTGGCCTGAAGAGGCACGGTGGGAGTAATAGATAGCGACTTGGATTGAGGAATCGGAGTGCCGAGTTCGAATTCCAGTCGAATCCATTACATTCACTTACGTGCTAATACCTTTGGGAAAGGTATCAATCCTCTTCTTCTCCCCCACCTTTCTAGGAGAAAGTAACTCTGAATTCAAAACTATGTACCCTGGTGTAGCATATACTATACATCTAAAGAAAGGGTCATTCTCATTGGCTTGATATAGCAGTGAATGCTGTACAATAACCTTACAGATAAAGGGTGGTTCTACAGAAGGATCCTGAGAATACCATGGACCGAACATGTGAGCAACGACGCAGTTTTAGAGAAAATGGAAACAAAAAGGACACATACTTAACACCAGAAAGCGACAGTTGAAATTTTCAGGGCACATAATGAGGAAAGCGAGCTTAGCAAATTTGACACACACAGGGCAGATTGAAGGCAAGAGGGATGGAGGTAAACAACGCATAACCTTCCTAACAAACTTGAGTAAATGGATGGCTGAGCAAGGTTTAGGAGAGGTAACAAAAAGACAAAATTTATTAAGAGCTACAAAGAGCAGGATATTGTGGAGAGCCATGATCGCCAACATCTTGAAGGGACACGGCACATAGAAGATTTTTCGCCGTAAGACTGCATGAAAAGTAACTTATTCCATATGAAATATATCTTAAGTTTTCTGTCGGCCTTTTATTTCTAATAGTAGGTTCCCGATGGGCACGGGGAACTTTTGTTTAATTTTTTTTATTTTTAGGAAAATTTCCGAACTTTCTTGTTTCCATTTTTCTGTAAAACCTTCTCGTTATTCTGATTTTCTGTTCTTATAATTATGAATTCCATGCATGGAGCCAAACCCCATTTAGAAATATTTAAATTGGATATGGTCGCTTTCTAAGAGCAATGGCAAAAATAACTTTGAGCGAATGAAGCCTGTAGATCTTGGCAAAGACTCTCCTTCTACGAATCTTGTGGACTGGCGCTACGGAATCACAAAAATGAACTGCATCAGACAACACAAAACCCATCATTTGAGGACTTCCAACAACAGCAACAACTAAAATGGATATCACAAGATAAAAAAAAATAAAAGCATAATCAAGATGTTGACATTCCACACTACTTAAATAAAAGGTTAGGAAGGAAACCCCCGTCAATACTGCAAAGAACGAAAACAGCTACTGGATTTGAGAAACCTCAAAAAAATTGTTTTAACAAAATATTTTATAAATTTCAATCGACTCTAATACTAGCTACTCGATCAATGAATGCTGTTTTTTTTTTTTTATAAAGAAACAGCTAATGTTACCATTACCATCACCATTTGTAGAGCCCATCACTGTTTCTTTAAATCTCCTCTTCATCTGTGAGGACAGAGCCATCTCAAGGTGCTGGAAACTCTGGCAGACGCCTGAGGCGCCATCACGGCCGTGGACGCCATCAATGCCCAGGGTGCCACGGGTGCCACCATGTTATGTGTTACTCTACATTTTCAGTTTTTCTCCTTGTGAAAAATTATTAAAATTATACTTATAAGTGCGCCGAAGTTCAGCTTGCCTGGGGTCCCATCAACCCTAGAGTCAACCCTGTATGAGGAAAATATTTCGCAATGACTGTCATATAAAAGGATTGATATTATATAGCTGTTCAACACTGTTTTATTTGTTTCTAGCAGAATTTTCCTGTCTCTTAATACTTTGTGTAGGTTTCGTAATATATCTTTCGCTATGTGGCTTCAAATTTTTTGCGACAAATATAGGCCTTAACGCAAGCTCACACAAATCGTAAACCTGTATGAGTTTAATATGTATAAATACAGCAGTGTATATTTTTTTGTATAACGGTCACGAGGCCCGTAATCCATGAAGCTCTAAGGGGCATCAAATGTACTACAGCCGTAGTAGCAGGAATGTCTAATGCGCATGACAGACTGAAAGAACCCGACCCTTTCCAAGCTGGTTTTGAATTTAAAGACCGGTTTCCACCCAAGGTTATAGGACCCCGTCACTTCTAATATTTACTCATAGCTGTGGAGGGGGAGAGGAAAACATGGATTATTATATTTCCCAAGGGTTTTAGGACGTAAGTGAATGTAATGAACTGGAATGGAATTCGAACTCGGCTCTCCGATTTCTCAGTCCGTCTCGCTATCCATTACTCCACTGAGCTTCAATTTTCGTGTATATTTAAGCAATTACTGCGTCTTCTCTTGGTTAAATATTGAGCTATGAATGTCAAAACCTGTTAGAAATTGAATTTCTCAGCAATTCTCATTTATGATGAATGACAATCGTTTTCTATGTTATCTGCCCTCAGCACTGTCGCTCCTTGTGGGTGTTGATATGGACGTGCCCCAAGCGTGTGCCTCTCAGACTGGGGGATGAGGTAAGGACAGATAAAGAGACAAGAAACAAACAAACAGAAATGACGAATTTCGGAGCTCATTAGCTTTGGCTGGTAGCCTGGCTTGAATGAAATGCCATACTGCCATGTGTTAAAATCTGTCATACAATTTCAAATTATTTATACCTGACAGCCGAGGCGACGAAATAATCTATCTATCTATCTATCTATCTATCTATCTATCTAGCAATCTCAATCTATTAGTCTATCGCTATCTCTGGCGCGCTCTCTATGTATATATTCATCTGTTTGTCTCAGTCTGTTCATCTCTCTCTCTCTCTCTCTCTATCTATCTATCTATCTCAGTCTTTTCGTATCTATCTATCTATCTATCTGAATCTGTAAGTCTCTCTCTCTCTCACTTTCTCTATATATGTATCTGTTTGTCTCAAGCTGTTCATATCTATCTATCTATCTATCTATCTATCTATCTATCTATCTCAGTCTTTTCGTATCTATCTATCTATCTATCTATCTATTTCAGTCTTTTCGTATCTATCTATCTATCTATCTATCTATCTATCTATTTCAGTCTTTTCGTATCTATCTATCTATCTATCTATCTATCTATCTATCTATCTCAGTCTTTTCGTATCTATCTATCTATCTCAGTCTTTTCGTATCTATCTATCTCAGTCTTTTCGTATCTATCTATCTATCTATCTATCTATCTATCATAGAGTGTTCATTATCTATCTATCTACCTTCATCTCTCTATCTAAGTTCATTAATATTTATTCATCTGCACAAATACGCAAGTCATCTTTCAATATATGATGTCCATATTTATATGAAATCGTTTAATAAGGGCAACATTGTATCGGTGCGAATATACAGTGGGCAATGCTTGCAAAATGAACACATAAAAGCACAGAAAGCATTGCACGTTGCCTTTCCTACACAAATATAAAAAAAAGAAAACATTGTACATGATATTTTTGATACGCATTGATCTGTATAATACTGCTATGAATATGTATTAGGAAATCACACGCGCGTGTCTGTGAAGGCGCTTGATTAGGAATGCCGGTGGATCTGCGTAATGGTTAGCATTTCGGAACGAGAAACCGGCGATCTGAGTACGAATTCCAGTCATGTTCGTTGCGTTCACTTTCGCGCAAATACCATTGGGAAATGTATGATGTACCTCTTCTCCCAGCTATGGGTAAAATAGCAGAGTAGACTGGGCTTCTTAGTCGTGGTTGCCAACCAGTCTAATACAAGGACAATTTTAACACCATATGCAGACCTGGCAACAGGATCATCGGCAGGATCATAGAATTCACAATGACTATAATCTTCACTGCAGTTGACTTACGACGATGTATTTTTTTAAATTCATTTTTTTTATTAGTAATAGGATAATTTTTCACTGAGATTTTTCAAGTTTTAAAAGGTAATTGAAATCATAATTCACATAGATGTAATTACTTAAAATTAAGACTTGTCGTCAAATAATGAAAATAATGAGAGAAAAGGATAACTTTCTTCACCGCAGAAATGATTTTAGGAGTTGTACCAAACACTGGTAACTTGTCGTGAAAACAAATTGTTAATTCTGTTCAAACGGGAAAATCTTAAGCTAAGATTTATATATAATTTATCAAAGTTTAGTTCCTGATTGCTTTGTTTGTTTTTTATAAAAATTCCTTTCGATATTTTAAAAATCAATTTAATTGTACCTTACTCGAGCAGGAAACACCCAAACCAATCACTGAAGTTAAGGGATGTTAATCCCGGTAAATAACCAGATAGGCGATCGCTTGAGAATGTCAGAAGCTGTAAACTTGGATGTGCCGGTGGTGCAATATATTGAGAAATCGGAAAGCCACGTTCGAATTCCATTCGGGTTCGTTATACTTACTTACGTACAAAATACATTTGGAAAAGGTATGGATCCATTTCTTCTCCTCCCAGCTATGGGTTAAATAGTAATATCAGAAAATCATTATTATCTGAAACAAAATATCATTACAATCCAAAAATATATTTCGGTTTTAAATAACCTTAAAAAGGTTGACAAGGCGTAAAAAAGAAAGAAATCCATCGATCAATTTACGCTCCATAATTTCATAAGTTCTTACCACTGTATATCCCTTATCCAAAAATTTAAGCGGACTGTGTATTAAAGAATACTTGATAAATCCCCTCCCAAATCGGCAATATTATAGGTCTTTACCTGACATCTCGGCTTCAGTTACTTTCCCACCTCCACGACATAACCTCACTGCGCTTCTATAAATATTTTCACGGTAATTGTTCATATGAGCTTTGCTCTTTTTTTGGTGTAAGGAATACTATGGTATGTTTGGG